ATAAATTGCATTTGTGGCCCAAGGCTCCGTTGAGTCGTGATGCAATCATACTATTATTACCTATTCGTAAATTATTCAGCACGTAAGCTATCATAAATAATTTTACAAAGTAGTTATTAATAAAAAAATACTTAGGTATCTCTGAGTATTTCGACTAAAATTTTATTCAACTCAAATTCATTTATTAAACACAGGTACAGAATATAACACATAAAAAAAACATACAAAAGAAAAGAAAGAAAAGTGTCCCGTGCATGTGTCAAAAGGCCATCTATAGTTCAGCATTTATCGGTGGAACTGAGCAACTGACGCCCATTTTAACTAGATCCTTTTCTCTTGTGATACACGGATGCCACACAATATAAACTAAGCATGTACATAAATGCTTTAATTTAACACTACCGCCGAGAACCTAATTTAACACTACCAGAATTGGATCCTATAATTGTTTAAGATTTTTCTATATGAAAGAATATACCAACATCAGCTCCCTATCCATTTGCATAAAAACTTAATACATATGTATACATGCCATATACTTTTATTTTAATTATAATTACGCACTAGCTGTTTAACCGCGGCTTTGCTCTCGTAAAGTTGAAAGAATTTTTTGAATTTGCCCAGTAGTTTTGGAGCTTATTCATCGCAAACAAATAATTAAATTTAGGCATAACTTCTCAAGGCATAAATATACTATACACAAAAAACGATTTCATGTAAAATGCTGCCAAGTCGAACCCATATCATTCGAACGTGAAAAAGTTTTCAGAGCTAAGAGTAACTAAGAGTCTCGGTCTACATGCACTAAATCTACAACCCATAATTGTACAAACTCTTAATCAAAAACACGTGGTTGGCCTTTTCGCTACCGTCACAAGGGCATAGGCCAAAGGTTACTACTAAGTATGTACAACAACCTCTGTAAGCAAGTGGCTCTTACACCAGTTTTATAGGTTTCGCTATCTCTGCAGTGTAGGGTTCAATTCTCGGATTCCCGGACCAATGCCAAATTGTCTATATTATCTAAAGTTTGAGCGTTATGTAACCGTCGTTGTATCGTATTTCCATAATGTTAATAAATAAAAATATATAACCAAACATCAAAGTACATCACATTAATTGCTCAGATTCCAAAATGAGTAGCTAAAGGCGTATCTGAAAATTAAGGAGTATCTGAAACGATGAAGGTACCACAACACCCATATCCGAGACAATATAGAATAGTCCATTTACAAACAATATCTTTGGAGTTATCGGAGTTAAAAATTTCTTTTAATATAAGTAATAAGCGTTTCGGCAGCGGCTACATCCGCGTATATAAAAAGTAGCCTATGTGATAGTTCAGTTTACTAAAATTCGAAACTCCTAGCCCTTATAGTAACGATGTTCCTTGCAAACTATCAAAAACAAAAACAAACCCGTAGGTTTTCTGCCGAAAAGGAAATTCCTTTGAATAATATTTTGACAGTTGCTACGGATGGCGCACCGGCTATGACAGGGCGTCACAAAGGCTTAATAGCGTGCTTGAAAAATAAAGTTCCTGACGTGCTTGCTGTGCATTGCGTAATTCATCGCCAGCATTTGGTTGCGAAAAATCTGAATGACCGCCGCCATATATCACTGCAATATGTCATCAGATCAGTCAATAAAATCAGAAGTAACTCGTTGAATGACAGATTATTTAGTCAGCTTTGCATTGCCAATGATGAAGATTTCAACCGACTGCTGCTTCACACATAGGTGCGCTGGCTGTCAAAAGGTACTTGCTTGACTCGATTTTACAATCTGTTTGGATCTGAGATAGAGTTCCTAGAAAACAAAGACCCAGAATTGCGCGACAACCTCATCTCATCAAAGAAAGATATTGCGTACTTGACAGACCTGTATAAATTGTTTAATGATGTCAACTTCCAACTTCGATCGAATTTCGCTAATTCTCGTCTTAGTGAGCACGTACGTTCTAAAACCCTTGTGCAAAATTACAAACTCCTAGCACTTGTAGTTTCTGAAGTAACGTTATGAGCGAGTGACCTTTCGCCTTAATATACAAGGTTAATTTATAAGTATATCTAAAAATGTCCTTTTCTGTCGTTTACACTTAACAAATACTTATGTGCAGCAAAAGGTGAAAAAATAAATTTTCTAACAAATTATTGACGATTGTTTGTGTGTAAAAATTGACTTAATATGTGTGCATTGCGAATTATAAATGAAATGAAAATGTTTGAAAGATCCACTTTATCCCTGACACTCTGAGATGGGTATAGTTCGGTATAGTATTGTGAATTCAAAATGGATCAAATAGAATAATGAAAACGTTATCTTCTGTCTTGTTTCGTTAATCTTGGAAATTATTAATGTAATTTCTGTTATAAATTATGTACTCTAATATCAACTTTTATCACTATTTATCTTTATCAATAATATTAGGGTAAATTTATTACAATTACATTTCATAAAGTTATTAAATACCCATAAAAACCATGTATAAAAATAGAATACACAACTACTAAAATTAGGACTGAAATTTGTGATATTAACTTATTTAAGAAGCTAATCGTGCAAGAAGCCTTTAGTCGTGCATAACTTAAACAAAGATATCACGTTGCGTGTAATAGCACGCTCCAGTTACTGAAGTATATTAGCTTTAGCCCTCAACTGCACCAGACTTTGACAAACTCCTAAAGGTAGGTGTATATCTAACGGTAGTTACATCGCATACTCGCGTATCGTTGGTGGCGAAATGTGAGACCTGACAAATATATCATACGACATAAGTTTGCAACGGAACTTGACGGAAAATCTGTTGCATACTAACACATACTTCCATAATCAATATTGTTATAAGGGGCTATGCAGTTCCCTGAGGACTGTAGTCACTGCGACCTTGAAGATCTATTGTGACTCCGCCAGATCTATAGTAACTCGTTTAGCCCTGTAGACTTCAAACAGTCTATAATATTCCTGGCTTTTAGAGATTTTATATCTTCTGGGCTGATTATATGTCGTCCCGCATGTATGCTTCGTTTGTGGACCAGTGGTCCACATTCACACAGGAGAAGTTTTGGTGTTTCACGTTCCTGTTTGCAATATCTGCAAATGTCAAAATAGGTGTCTGTTTAATTCGCAGAGTCCAGATAAGGTTCGTACAATTGTACTTATATTTGCTCTGTTTAGCTTCAAGAGCTCTTCAGCTAGTTTTTGTGAATGACTTTCAATCAGGGAATTAGCGTGATTTAATCCCGGCTGTTTTTGCCAGTATTTTTTTGAATACATTTGCAGGTCATTCTTTAGAATTTGCATCACATGGTTTTTTGGGATACCACAAAATGGCTCTGATCCTTTTTGTAGTCTCTGTGCTCCAGCCCTTGCTAGTTCATGCTCTTTTTCATTGCCGATGATGCCCGAGTGTCCTGCTACCCATTTAAGTATAATTTTATTCTTTTGCCCCAGTTCATTCACAGTCAGTTGCACAAACGTCCATTAAAATTTTCATTAGTTTAAAGCGACATTACCCATACAAATTTGACATTCATTAGAGCTTAAAGACGTCATTAAACCTTAATGGACGTTTGTGCAACTGATCTTTAATCTCTTAATACCAGTTTACATTTCCATAATCATACTTTTCTTTTTCTTTTACTAACCCACTATCATCGGAAAACCAAAATCAAATGCGGGTCGGACACGTGTACGAAGGGTTCCATACCCGTAACGATAAAAAATAATCACGTTTGTAATATGGGAGGCCCTGAAATATTAATTTTACACTGTTTTTAGAAATACGTCATCTGTCATCTATCTTATAACACATTATATTATACACAAAATGGTGACAAAAGGACAGACAGACAGACGGATGGTCAGCGAAGTCTCAGTAATAGGATCCTTTTTTGAGCACGGAACCTTAGGGTTCCCTATGTCTTCTATACCTAAGTCTAATATAAATTTTAATTTGTAAGATGTAAACGTATCAATATTATAATAAATATAATAAAGGATTACACTTATACAAATATGAAATTACGAATATATCTTCCTCAATATATGCTCTAAACTACATTTAAAAATGAAATTGTTCATATTACATACCTATCTAATGAGCTATGTGTAACGTATATCAATATATTTACATTAATAAATAATAGATGGCGCTTTTAATAGTATTTCTACAAATACATTTTTCCTCTTGATTATTTCGTGATAAAAAATAGTCATTAAAATAATTGTTTTTTAATGTAACTGATTGGTCAATTAAAAGTATTGAAGGCGTTCTACTGGAAAAATATTTGCACGACTAATTATTTGACGTAGGATGACAAGGCCACTTCCATGAGTTTTTTTTAAATTTATTACTGATCTAAGATATGTTGTCCTGGAAAATACCATACCAGACCATACCATTGGTGATAGACATCTAAAGTACGGGTGCCCGGCACCGAAGTAAACCCAATATGGCGTCCACTCCGCAAGTATAATCGGGGTAAAAACTTTAATGAATATTATTTGTCAACAAAATAAATAAATATTTACAAAACAAGGGACATACTACTCTTTAGAACGTCATTTACCGATAAACAATATTTACATAAATTACAAATCACAACAATGTTACATATCGTCGTTGTGACTTTAATACCTCATATGTGTAAAATGAATGTTTAAAAGATAATTGATAAAAAGTGTCTACTGAAAAAAATATAAAGAAACTAACTCTAAGAAATAACACAATCGACAATTAGAGGATTTTATGCTTATTACTTTGCAAACATTATTTTGATAAAATAAAATGGTATTGCTTAAAAAAAATAAAAATTATTCAATGCACCACTTATGAGGTTTTGGTTGCGAGTATTGTTTCACATTAGAGTTTTTGAAGTAAAATATGCTAAGGAATTGAAATTAAAAATACACAGTTTTCAATAAAATAGCTATTTATTTGTTATATAAATAAATAAAGGAATTGATCAATTCCTTGTAGGTAGGGTGCTTTTTACCCATTAAGTACCTGGATTAAATTGTAAATTATTATAGAAAGGATGGTAATCCTGATCAATTACCATTTTAAGATCCTGCAAATGCTTGAATTTGCTTTCTGTTATTTTTAATGGAGCTGCGTATAATCGGTTTAGTGACACAAAACCATTTCTTTGGTTACTTCTTCGCTGTTGAAGCAAGGACCACTCAGCAAAATGTCTCAACCTGTAAAGTATGGTTCCATCAGGTAAATACTGAAGACCTCTGATATCAACCACTACAGGATCGCCCTTCTTTTTACCAGGCCGAATGGATTTCAGGTTCGATTCCAACTCTTCAAAATTTAAAAAGAAGTCGTAATGAATCGACTTGACATCGTAGGGCTTCTGTGGTCGTGCTTGTCTCATCCGGATTATGTAATCACTGGGAGCGTATATTGGAGGTTTTATGTATTGTTCAATAGTGGAGTGAACACTATCGACCTCCATCATTGTGTGCCCCTTTTCTAAATAGAGTTGTTCTATAGTTACTTTCTTTCGCTGTGCCAAATCACTCAAGGCACTCGACAAAATTCGGTTCCTGTTTTGATGACCACATCCATCAGAAATAATAATAATACGCTCAACTGAAGTCGGTAAATTTTCACAGTAATCCACCAAACAAGATGTGAATTCATTTGCAGTAACATTACCGTCTGCTTCGTGCCAGAAGTAAATTGTAACATTTTTAGATGAAACGTCATAAACAGTAAAGTTATGACATTGTAACTTCAACTTGTAGTACAAAGCACTTGCCAATAATTTCGGGGCAAGCAAAACACTTTGGACGTCAATTGTTACAACCACAACCTTTTCATTTGCACTAGCTATAGCAATCTTTTTGGCATTACGGGCTTCTTCCTTCTTTGCTACGTGTATATCATATTCTGCTTGAGAAATATTGCCCGTTTTATAGCTACAACACGTGTCACATTGATCTTTGCGCGGATGGTGAATACCAATATTATTATTTGTTAACACCTTCGAAAAAGTTTTTCTAGAAGCAGCCCTGTATCCCTTTTCAGTACACCAATCCTTAAAAACTGCATGCATGTGGAGTTCAGACCGAAAAGTCGATTCTACATAAACTTTTTTTGAACTTGATCGACAATAGTGACTAGGTACCTTAGGTAATATATCAAGCCATGTTTTAACAATTTTTGACAATTCTGCATTCCTTCCTGTTTTAACAATAACACGTAAACATGAGGACGTATTTGAAGAAGTCCCTTCATTGCAATTTTCTTGTACCATATCGCACTCCTTAGTCCACCGACGGAAACTGTCTTCTCCAATGCAAAGCGTATTCAAAAAAAATAACTTACAAACTCTCACTTTAGTGCATTGTGCATCCATCTTATTGATAAAAATATCATGGCCACTTTGCTTTTTGCCAACAGTATTATGCCGAGAGTGGCGTCGACGTCTTATACATCTTCTAACTGCTAATGTTTTTACGAAAGTAATCTTCTCTGGCCAGGACTTGAGCTCCCAAAATGTTTTGTGAATTTGTTCACGTTCTTCGTCAGTGACCAAAGCACAAAGAAAGGAGTTTTTAGATTTAGGAGCAACACTCGTATGTGAGCAACGTGGTTTCAAAACTCTTTTGGGCCTCTCGACACACGCTGTCCATTTGTTATCCAACTTTTTATAGCCAAGATATGATTTACCAGCAACACGGGCTTCTTTATTACGCTTAACAGTGCATGGAAGGGGTGCAGCAGCAGTGACAGTATTTGCAACCCCACTTTCATCGTTATCACTATTGTCACTATCCAGAGCAAGTAAAATCCTCTGTCTTCTCAAAAATAACTGCCTGTTAAATCGTAAATCGCGCACAGTTAATTGACTGATATTTTCGTCACTATCACACTCATTAGCTAATGGATAACGAGTTCGCCTCCCCACTACAGATTCTGGAGCCCAGTCAGGATCAATATCACTATCATCACTTAAATTATCAAAGATTGGTAAAGGTGATAGTACTCGCCTTAATTCAATTGAAGTACACGGATCAGTGGCATGGAGTAAGCTAATGCTACCATTAGATATTTCTTCAACTTCATCGATTGTGTTTAACACTGAAGGTTTGAATCCTAACTCTTCCGGCGAAATCAGAGAGGCACTGGACCCGCGCTCCTCATTTTGTGATTCCTCAGAATTATAATAGGTCATTGAATTGTAGCTGTCGTCAGTATTTTGCCGATTAATTAACAACTCAATATCACTAGGATTAAGCGGTTTACTCATTTTTGTAGTTTTCACTAACTAAAATCCGTTTAACAACTTTAAGGACTGCCGTAACGCTGAGCAAGTAACAACCTGTCATAAAATGAGAAAAATCTAGCGCCACTTGACAGCTACAATCGGATCACATGATCAATGAAGCGACCAATAGAAATAAGGGGAGAAATTCCTGTGTTTCTATTGGTCGATTCCCGTGTTGTGTTAATGAAACTATTATTAATACACATAGGATATTTCATTATAATAATTTCCCAAAATTGTAAAATACTCGTGCCACTAAAAACTCTCATGTGTTCTCATGACACATAAGATATTTGAAATCCCAACTTTCGATGAGCGAGCACATAGGATATATTATATTTAATAAATAAATAACGATTCAAAAGACATAATCACATGAGAGTTTTTGCATTCGAAGGCGCTCTAAAAATTGGAATAAACCGGTACAAAAAAGTGATTTCGACAAAAGTGACACATAAGAGGTTTTAAAGTCGCAACGACGATATATGTAATAAATTTATTATAATTGATGTTGTACAATGAAATGTTATACTTTGGTTTGATTTAAAAATCCAAAATCAACAAAATTCACAACAATGCAAAATTCAAAACGATAATAAATATTTTTTTTTTTAAGTGTACTTGAAAAAGAAAAAGTGTCAATGAAAAAGGTGCGTTTACAAATGGCGGCGGCGGGAAGTGAATTTGTGGGGAAACTTTAAGTGCGGGGTGACACTAGGTCCTGCCCTGCTATTCTGTGAAAATCCAAACCCGAATTCGAATTCACTCGGGTGTCCGAATTAACTTCAAAAACTAAATTGGTAATAATGTAACGTGGAATAAGTGAAGTGAGTTTCGAAATGACATAGAAATAGTTTAATCTGAGACACGTATATTGAAATCAACTTTGTTTTGTATTTTATACAAAAACTGGAATCAATAGAATTTCTAGACTAAATGACGTGAATTAGGTCACATAAGGGAATTCGAATTCGGGTTAGGATTTTTACAAACTCGCAGGGCTGATCAATTCAATCTTCTCTATGGGGCTGATGCTATGGTTAAGTTTCTCCCCCAGCACACTTTACTTTCGATACCTATTTTCGATTTAGTTTTTGTCGTGATTAATCAAACCTAAAAAATGTCTTTATGAAGGGGAAAAACTTAAAAAATCCGAGACAAATATTAAAGACAACAAATTCTTTTTTCATTACAAACCAATCTGAACCCCGCTATCAAACATTCGACGTCAATCAAAGAAAAACGAAGGCGTGTTAAGATTACCTTTGGGATGCTTTCAATTTGATTAGAGGTTGCATATCGATAAACTAGCAGCAAAGTCTGCCGGGACAGCTATTATAGTTGTTAATACTCGTAAAAGCTGGATCAAAGAGCTTATTAAGTAAATATATACCGGGTGTTACAAAAATACCCGTTATAGCTGAAGGGTGTTGAAGTATATCATATAAACAGTACTCTGCCAAATTTTCAAAACCTTTGCATTAACTTTTAACTTTCAGTGAAAAGGCTAATTTTTAATAATTAATAAATACATCGAGTGTGCTATGTCACATCACTATTTTAGGTTAATGACCTTACCAGGAGTAATGGCACACTACCTATATTCTATTTTTTTTTCTATTCTCCTAGTACACACCCACACATACACACTAAGAATGAGAGAGAAAATATACTTAAAAACATGTCTGCGTTTGCCAGTTTACACAGTAAATACTTAACCTATTTCGATCGAAAATAAAATGAAAAGAAATTAAATAGGAATCAAATCATTGGCAAAATGGTATGGTAACCGACGCTGTTCAGCCGGTAGTCTAATTTCAGTAAAAAAAATTATAATACATATTATTATCAACGCGCACATCATTTCATAGCATCGTTTCCGACTCAGCTGTTTCTGAATTACAGATCAAACACCATTTTAAGTAGTACCTATTTATGATAGATAGGTAAAATTTATTTAAACACTGATATACGAGTCTAACTTTTAGTTCATACTTTAATGGTCCGACAAATCTGATTGATATTACGATAATAAAAAAAAAATGATATGCGACATAATTCACAAACGATTTTGGCGTATTTAAAAATAAATATTTGCTAATTACTATTTGTACTTTACCTTTTCACTTCCTTATTCACTGTTTAAGCATTACTTGTGAGGTTCACTCACCTACACTTTATTAGGCACTTAATTTTATTCCACAAGAAAAAACTAAAGATCGCGGCCAACCTCTGGTTCACTGACGTTTCAGTATAATTACATCTTTTCAAAATAGTCTCAATTTATATCAATACAACACTGCATCCCATGTAACACTGATAAAAGCACTTTTCATAGAACTCGGAATTAGAGAACACGGACATTTTCGAAACGTGATCACATCGACGACGTATGAACAACTGAATAAAGAAAAAGTGATAAAAAGGGAAAGCCGCCAATTTGAGTCCTTTATTATAAGCCGCTGCATAGTGTGCGGCATGTCAAAGGCGCACAGAAAAGTACCTATAGTTCCGCAATTAAATCTGAGAAGTAGCGGGATAGGGTTGCCTTCTTCTCTTATTAGATCGGAAATTTTGTCCTTAAAGCCGGACTAAGTCAAATCTCTCGCGAAGCCGTAAAACAATATTACCGTAGTAGACAGTAATATTAGTTCACGGCTTCGCGAGGGTTACTGCCTAGTTATTCAGAGGGTGCGTTAAGCAAAAATCACTAACTTTCAATTGATTTTGTAGTAAGACGTAACATACAAATAAGCGGTAATTAAAGATAAGATAACTACATCATAATTTTAACGCTTTTATCACAGCCAAAACGTGAATTCATAAAATAAGGCTTGATCGTAACATCAAAACTGCACAACCTATTTTGAAAAAGGTTTTTTTTTAAAAGTAATTTCGGAGACTATACGATGCAAACAAACTAACGATTTGTATTCAAATTTCGCAAATGCCCGTGCAACACTGCGTCTTTTTGGGTATTTGACGTTTTTCGAATTTGTGTGTATTCATAGTTTATTTGATATAGCTTCGGCACAGGTATACCAAAAACCTATGAAAACTATACCGCCGGACATGTGACATTAACATTTAGCTGCACACAATCTAAAAAGTCAAACATGTCCCGCTAAAGACGGATAGATGACAACCCTAGACAGGCGGCAATGTTAAAGTTTGAGCCTAAACTTCTAGTTGCCTAGTACCGAGGTGATCAACATTTTATTGTACAAATTAAAAAAATCATTGTTGCAACTAATTTTTTTACATACGTACGTAAGTACATAATAAAGTTACGTATTATGAACGTTACGTATTAGGAATTGTTAATTGACAAAGATTTTGTAAATTTTTATTGTTGTTGATAAGATAGTACATGGTTGTATTTTTAGTATTTACAAATTTAAACGTTGTTAATGTTTGGTAAAGACTAGTTTAAGTGAGAAATGTGATATACTTTCACGCTGCACCTGCAAACGAGCATGCTTGGCTCAGTCTGTAGAGAGGAAGTAGCATCGACTATCATAAGACATCGTTAAATAAATAAATTAATGTATTTCGTGGGCCGTTGTAATATGCATACAATCGACATACCTGTTTAAAATTTTAATTCATTTTATACACCTTTTCTATTTGAACTATTTTTCAAATAAATGACCATTTGTTTGTTAGCTGTGTCGGTCGTTTTAGGGCTTTTTCTATTTAAAGAAATAGGTAAACAGTACATAATAAAACGTCTCATTCATTTTCATTTCTTACAGCATTAAAATAGTGAATCCTATACTCTGATTCTAAAATTCAGTTGAATAGCCCACAGTAATAAAATAGATAATAAATTAAAATCCGTACCAAATGTTTACTACTACCGTATCTAGCATCAAGTAGTCACTCGCGCGCGACATCACACAAACACGAACGATAATGTTTCGTTTCTTTCTCTCTCTCTCTTTCCCTCCCTCTCTATCTCTATCTTACGTCATTGTACACTCGGGGGAATAAGTGAATTTGTTTTAGGCTCGATTTTACCGATTATGTATTGATTTGTCTTACGTATTTAAATACCTAAACAATAAAAAATATTTTTAAGAGTTAAGCTAATGAAGTTATTTCTTAGCACCGGATACAACCCATCCTGCGCGAGTCCAACTCTCACGTGGCCGGTTTTTTTTTATAATTAGTTGTTAGCAGTTTGATAAAACTAGGACTTTTGACTAGTGAAATATAAAAAAAACTTCAGTTATTGAGAATATTCAGTTGAGATTTTGTACTTTTCTCAATTTAGAAAGCGGCTCTTTGTCGACATTTTTTCTTGTCAGACGCTTTTAAGATACCTAAGTGTAGTGCATATCATTAACTCTAAGGTAGCAATCCATTTTACTTGAAACAATTTACATGTAGTAAGAGTAAGTGGTTGAAACCATAATCGGGAATGATCATATTCCCGATTAAGGTTCATATTCCATTTTAAGTCTGATCTTTTTACACTGACTGATATGTACACGAATATTGATCAATGTTTCAATTTATTCCCCGACTGTATCTGCGCTGACGTCATATTAGGTTTACTTTCGTAACAGAAGATTGTAGGTACGAGTACCAGGTTATCATGATTTAAAGACACGATGTGTAAAAATTCTGGTTCAAAGATGAAGCAGCTACAGATAGACAAAGTTACCTGGAAGACACTCTGTGATATACGTCGCCTACTTTCATAATATTGTAATTATTTTCATAAAAATGAAACTACCTAATTATGAAAAAAAATTGTTCGTGCAATAACGAATATTCTACTTATCTAGAGGTCGCGATATTTCTTCTTCCTCTGCTTCTCTATTTGTTTAGATTAGATGAAATTGATTTTATGAGTACATTATTGAGTGACGTGTCGTAGCATTAATTATAAAGATTATTATTTTGGATGGGCCGTCTACAGTTCGTAAAGAGATATTGTACGAGCATTTCAGGCGAAAGTATTTAATCCAGTGCAG